GCTGACTGCCCCAAAGAAAGACAAACATAGTGTTTTAATCAACAATAGGGAGGTGATAAAGTAATGGAGATAGACAAAAACTGTGGGTTTTACATCTCTTCTCCCCCCACCAGCCCCTCACCCCTCCGTTTCGTGTTTTTTGAACCCGAACAAGTAACTTCACACTCTCAGCTTAATTTGCCTTGTCTGCCAAGTAAGGATATTATCCTCCATGCCAATGGTAGGGTTGGAAAAGTTGATGGATCAAATTTCCTCCCACTCAAATACATAATCCGAATATTTCCAGATACAAAAAGGCAAGCAGGAATCTTCCCAAGGAAGGGTTAGTGGGAGGACCCACAGTCTAGGGAATAAAGGACAGTGAAGGAGGCCAAAGCCAGTTCTCACCGAGAGGATCTTATCACCCTCCTGGAGCCGCCCATCCAGGGCCGCAGCCCCGTTCTCTTTGATGCGGCTGACGTAGATGCCACTGTCGTTGGAGACATACTGCTGATCTGTCCCACCGACGATGTTGAAGCCCAGCCCTGAGAAAATCACAGAGGAATGAAGACGACAGGGGTGAAGAAGAAAGAATGGGATTAGAGAAGAAGAGGTGAAAGAGACAGGAAAGGCCTGGTGAGGAGAGGCTGATGAGTCAGACTGTGATGTAGCTGCTGAACAGTCATGAATAATAAGGGCAGTAAGTAACATCACCAACAGAGGTCAAGAGTACCCAGAGTTGCCCAGTCAGATCATGCGGGACTAAAAATAAAAACACAGTGATCAGGGCCGAGCCCGTGGCGCACTCAGGAGAGTGTGGCGCTGGGAGCGCAGCAGCGCTCCNTCATTGGCTGAGCGCAGTGCGGCCGGTCTCAAAAAGGACAAAAAAAACCCCCCCAAAAAACACACAGTGATCAACATGGTTTGCTGAATATATAATGAAAGATCTATACAGAACTTGGAGAATAATGGTGAATCTTATAAGATGTAAGTTCTTTGGCTCACATTTGATTTTGACCCTGTTGATGGCATTCAGAGGACTCAATTCCTGACATTCCTGGTATTAATGTAACAGGGTTAGCTGTGTTCATGAGAAAAAGCTATTATCAAATGAATTGTTCTTAGTTTAGTAAGAGAGTTTCCTAAAAATACTTTCCCCTCCATACTTTTCTTCTCCCAAAGCTTCTGGAGAGTTTGTGTATAGTACTGTTTTGGAAAAAGAGGTTTTGGGAGTTTCATTACCTTTTCTCTATTTTGGGTTTGGGGGAGGGTAGTGGTGTAGGTGTGCACAGGAAACCTCAGACCAGAAAGGCAACTGCTACTTCATGATAGGACTAAATCATTAAATTCATTCTCCTTCCCTGTCTACCTCAAGTGCAAACAACCACATACTAAGATANTTAGATATGCAAAATGAGTAAGTTCGAGAGATCTGCTGTACACCACTGTGCCTAGAGATAACAATACTGTTTGTATGCTTATAAATCTGTTAATAGGGTAAATCTCATGTTAAGTGTTTAAAATAAAACAGAATAAAATATTAAAAGAAAAAAAGAAAAAGAAAACTGACTACCAAAGTACTATTTCCCTAGACCAATCAAATTGTGAAAATAATTTCATTTTACAGAAATCACTGTTATAAAGGGATTTTACCTATGCGTTAAGATCTTCCAGGCAAACAGAAAAGAAAAACGAGCTGGAGTAGCTATTCTCATATCTGACA